AGAGATGGGGATAGTGGATAATAAAGTATAGGGGTTAGGGACTACTGGATGGATTGGAATAACAGCTACACTGATAATTCTTAAATCTTGAACTAGCCTATAAGAGCCATTAGGTTTTTTGATAGCCAATATCAGGGTGTTGTAAGGGGAACTGGCTGGTCATAGTAGCCATTTGTATAAAAGTTCCTGGATAATTGGCTGCAGGCCCAGTAAACTCTTGAGGGCAGCGGGTACTGAGGTTGAGAGGGAAAAGAGGCGGGATCTTTAAGTCTGATCATTCATTACTGGGGGGCAGGTGGTGATAGAGGGGGTGAGGGTACCCCAAACTATAGGGTCGACTAGATGGGGTGGCAGAGGAAAGGGAGAGGGAGGTGGGTTTGCTGTGGGTTGGAGGGCAAAGTAAAAGTGGGATTGAAGGTAAATCGGGGTTGAGGCGCAGTCTGGGAGCGAAAGTAATGGAAGCTCCAACCTTGTGTAATAGGTCTCTTCCCATAAGGGGGATGGGACACTGGGGAATCACCAAAAAGGAGTGAGAGATGCAGTGAAGCATGGGAGTTCGTAAAGGTTGATAAGGTGTGCCCTCTACCCTGACTATAGAGGACTGTGAAAGGGAGGGAGGTCCCTAAAACTCCTTCAGGACTGAGTAGGTGGCCCCGGTGTCCAAAAGGAAAGAGATGGGCCTACCCACTACCACAATGGTTACCCTGGGCTCCTGTACAGTGATGGTAGTGGTCGGATGAAGGAGTCCCGGGGCCCCTCAATCATCAGTTACCAGACCCAGAAGGTCTATGTGTGCAGTGTTATTGCTGGATGGCCTGGCACCTCTTGGTGTGTGAGGACAGTCAACAGCCCAGTGTCCCTCCTGATGGCACTTATAGAGCATGGACTGGGGGGCTTCTGGGGATTTGGGCAGGCTCTAGCCCAATGACTCATTTGACCACATTTGAAGCGTGGACCAGGAGGTCCTCCTGGCTGCTTCTTAGGAAGTGAGGATACCCGAGCACCAGTGGTTGGGGTAGGTTGAAAGGCCTTAGCCAGCATTCGATATTTTTGTTTACAGGCCTTCTCATCTCTTCCATTATATACTTTGAAGGCCACTGCCAGGACTTCTGCCTGAGAAGTTCAGGGTCCCTTCTCTAGACGTCTAAGTTTAGCCTTAATGCTGGGGAAACTCTGGGTGAAGAAGTAGGTCATTAATAATTATCTCCCATCTGGGGTCTCAGGGTCTAGGTTTGTATATTGTAAAAGAGCTTTGATGAGATGGTCTAGGAATATAAAGGGATTCTCATTTTTATCCTGAATAACTTCTTGGGGTTTTTCATAGTTAATGGCTTTATTGGCTGACTTCCTGAGACCCGCCATGAGGCAGGTGATGAATTGATCTCGACTGGTGACTCCCCCTGCCATATTATAGTCCCAGTTAGGGTCTCAGTCAGGAACCACCTCAGCACCTATTGGATGAGCTGGAGTAGTTTGGTGAACCTCATCAGCATGAGTTCTAGCCTGTTCACAGACTCACCTGCGCTCCTTGGGCAAAAGTGCATTGGATAGGATCATGTGAATATCATGAAAGGTAAGATCATATGACTGAGTTAGGTACTGGAACTCTTTTATGTAAGTAGCTGGGTTGGAGGTAAAAGAGCCTTATCTTTTCTCAATTTGAGATGGGTCGGAGAGAGAAAAAGGGACATGGACCCGGATGACACCCTCTGTACTGGCTACTTCCTGTAGTGGGGCTAGGATCTGGGTTTGAGAGTGAGTGACTGGAGGGCTTGGCATGGGACTGGGTGAGGGAAGGGGAACTGGTTGTGGAGGAGGAGGAGGTGCTGCGACTCCTGCAACAGCACTAGGGGAGCTGGGAGAGTTGGGATTTTGAACTTGCAGAGGAGGTTGGGGCGGGAGAGGAACTGGTGGTTGAGGGGGAGTTGTAGGGGTTTGAGATCGGTAGGGAGATTCATCAGCAGGGTCAAAATCAGAGGACGTGGTGGGAATTCCTGGGTGGTGGGGTGAAGTTTTTTAGAGTGAGAAGATGTTTAGGATTGCAAGGGAGACAGAGAGCGGGCTTGGTTCGGAGCTAGGAGAAAGCCTGGATATAAGGGATCTCTTTCCATTTGTCCATGTGCTCACAGTTGTGTAAGTCGCAGAGAATTTTAGGATCTAAAGAGCCATTGGGAGGCCATTTAGACTGATTGTCCAAGGGATATTGTGGCCAGATCTCATTACAGTAGTGAATAAGCTTAAAAGGTTTGAGGTCTGGAGTGAGGTGGAGGGGTTTGAGATTATCGGGTAAACATCCCAATGGCGGGTCCACGGGGGTGGAAGGGCCAGCTCCCATGGTGAGAATGAGACCATTCACAGATTGCAAAGTCATCCCAGAGTGATAAGGAAAGGTTGAGGAGAAGACTGAACACGGCTAAGGGGTCGTCACCACCTCTAACAAGGTGGTCGAGGTGAAAAACGCTGAGGAGGCTTGGTACCTGGTACCAGGAGTTTATGAGTAGATAAAGGGAGACAGGACCTCAGTGAATGAGGATTCTCACCATGGGGAGGCAGAGAAGGGTTGAATATGGGGATCAACCGTGACTCTGAAAGTCGTGGTTGGGGGTGCCCCTGTCCCAGAGGAGCCCTTGGGGGTGCCGGACACTCAACAGTCACTTTCTAGGTTCCAAACAGACATTTAAGTCGACCATGAAGGGGAGACTTACCAAAATGAAGGCCAGTGTTGGGTGAGAAGACGAGCAACCTGGGAAATGGATGGTGAGCCCGTGGAGGAGGATCGGGCAGTGAGGTTTCCCAAAGCAGCTCAGGTTCCCTGAGGAAGAGCAAAGTCAATGGGAGAACCTCATCCGAGTCACGGCACCAATGAAAGGGTATCTCCCCACGACCCTCCTTACCCCAGAACGACTCAGGAGACACGGGCCCATGCAAGAGATTTTATTATCTGAAAGAGAAAAATGGCTGCCCCGAGAGAGAGAGAGAGAGAGAGAGAGAGAGAGAGAGAGAGAGCGCGAGAGAGAGCGAGCGAGCGAGAGCGAGCGAGCAGCAGCTCATGGGTGAGGAAGCACATTTTTAAGGAGTAGGGGTAGGGTGTGTTCTGCGTTGGTGATTAGATCTTCAGGGGTGGGCGACCATCTGGTCAGTGGTGATTGGATCTTTAGGGGTGGGGGTCTTGGTGCGCCAGAATTTGCCTTCAGTAACAGCTCCCCACTGTTGTAATCCCTGGGTGCTTCACCCTCCCTTGCTGATCCCTTCCTCCAGGTCAGACCCTTGTACATCATTCTTTCTTCAACTCCCAATTAGCCCTTCCAGGGTGCAATCTGGTTCCTATTGCAGGTCTGGCTGATACACCTTCACTGCCCCCAAACACGCCCAACCCCAGCCCTTACCTATTGTCTTTATCTCCCAACAGCTCCTTGGGGTCCTCCCTCTTGGCCTTGTTGCTCCTGTTTCTCAGATTCTTCCCCCCAGGCTCCTGTTTCCACCCATTCACCTGCCCATTGGCCAAGGTCAAGTCTATGTCGCCGTTGCTCTGTTTAGAACTGAAGTTATCTCCTCTTGCTTAACCAGCACCTCTTCTGCGCTCCCCTCAGTTACTGTCATCTCCATCTTCCCTGACACAAACTATCAAAAACCAGGTGAGAGCTAATGTCTTCTCAGAGAACCCAAGGAGAGCCACCACCCAAAGCCTCCCATAAAAACACAATTTAGGAAAAGGTGAAACCAGTGTGCTTACTATGCAAATAAAGCCTCAAGGCAAGTCCCGCTCCATCACATTACCACCCTTAAATCCTTCCAGTACAGAAATTCCAGCCCCACCACTGCCTCCTCCCTCCCTCCATTCTCTTAGTCCAAGTTTATTCACAGAATTCCCACAGGACAGAACTTTCCTCTCTTCATTCCAGTATAGGCCATCATTGTCTCTCACCTACCGCCGGAGTCTCCCCATTGGTTCCCTCCCTTTCTTCTCGACTCCATAATCGTGTCCACGCAAGGCCAGCCCGGCAAAGCTCAGGTCTGAGCAAAAGACTTCAGGGCCTCCCTAGTGCCTGCCAAGGGGCCCACCCTCTCTCTCTCTTCTCTATTGAATGTGCGAGTTTTTATCAAAAACTCTGTTAAAAAAACCCAAAGCCTTTCTTTACTTTGAGTTTCAAAGCATGTATTTTTAGAACACCGAATTCGGCATTTAACTAGGAATTTCTAACTTTCTTCAGCGTCTTCGCTAAAGACCACACTTCCCTGGCCGTCGGTTCCTCGGCTTATGTCTGAGAGGATGGCAGGGCCAAAATCCTGCATAAACAAAGCGTCTGCAGGAGTTTCTACCAACGCACGCGTTCTGGCCGGGTCCAGACTCCAAGTTTGGAAAGAAGGCGCCCAGCGCTGCCGGGTCTGCGCTCATTGCAGAGGGGATGGGCACAGATCTTGGTCCGGGCAGGATGAGGCAGGAGCAGAGGAGCTGGGTGGGGGCCGCCAGGTCTGGCAGACGAGGGCCCTTCCTGCGGGAGCAGGTCCTGGGGGCGCATCCTGGGGCCCCGGCCGCCGAGCCAGCCATCCCGCGCTCTCCAGTCCCAATCAGAAAGAAGTAAACAAGGTATTCCCAAGAGTGCCAGGATCCCCTCTTGGAGGACCGGCCATCCTACCAGCAGACCCCAGCCCACCCAAAGGTACCTCGCGGAGCCGGGAGCAGTAAGGAACGACATGGGAGGGGGCGGGGGCGCCGGACGTTGCGGGCGGGGCGGGCGAGGAGAGGGCAGTTCGGGCCCCGCCCTGTCCCGCCCCCGCCGGGGGCGGTGGGACCCGGTGATGGGCAGGCCTCCCGGCCGGTCAGGACACACCTCGCAGTCCCGAAGGCCCAACTGGGCAGGGCGCGCCGAGGGGCTCCGAGCGGGAGGGGGAAGAGGCGGGGGCGGGAGGGGAGCCTCGGGGCCGGGCGGGGCCTCACAGAGTGGCAGCGCTCCGGCCAATAGGAGGCGGCAGCCGTCCCGTTAGCGCCGGATCCCAGCGGGTAGGGCGGGGCGGGCGGTGCCGAGGGGATCCCGGGGCGGCGGAGCGTCCGTGACTCCGCTCCGCGCGGCGACATGGACCGGATGGCCAGTTCCATGAAGCAGGTACCCAACCCCCTGCCCAAAGTGCTTAGTCGGCGCGGGGTCAGCGCGGGGATGGAGGCGGCCGAGCGGGAGAGCTTCGAGCGGACTCAGGTGAGGACCGGGGAACCCCGGGGCGAGCGTGGCTGGGGCATCACAGGAGATGCAGTGTCCGGGCGGCCTTTGAAGGAAAAAGGGGTCTTGAAGGCCCAGGGGAGGACGGGGTGAGGGCGTCGCGACAGGGGCATTTGGTGTGCAAGTCGAGGCGATCCCGAGAAGGTCGGGCATCCGAGGGCATCCCAAGTGGTCTGGGGAAAGGGCGGGCGGCCTCGAGGAGCCGGCAGGATCCGCGTGGCGAGGGGAGCGGGTCCCGACGGGGCAGAGCAGCGGAGGGGTCACAGGGGCGGTGAGAGGGAAGGGGGACGAATACAAGGGGCGCCCCTAGGCAGGAGAAGCGCATTGTGGGGGCCACTTGGAGATGCAAGTGTGGCGGCGGACAGTGCGGCGCTGGGTTGGAGATGTGAAGGGTAAGGAGCCTTTCCTCAACTCCGGGTTGCACGGACATCCCCCCGCCCCCTACCCCAGCACCTCCTTCCCGGTGCCCTTCCTTGGCTCACGCCACCCGCAGCTCTCGGCCTCCCAGGGCCCGGCTAAAGGGGTCTGACTACGAGAAAGAATGTAGGAAATGCGGTGTGTGGCCGAGCTTGGAAAATGGGGGCTGGAGGAGGGGGCCGGCAGGGGGCAGAAATTGAGAACTTGGCGCGACTGCTTACGGGTACCCAGAGCCCTGACTTGGGATTTTGGTTTTATCCCCCAAGATGTGCCTGGCAGCGAATAGGCAGACTGCCCTATTTGTCCATCCTGACCAGGGCTGGGGGCCAAAATTTCTCAGTGTCAACAAAAAGCCACCGTCCATTTTTACCTCAGAGTTTTAATGCCTGGCATATTGATTTGGCTGAATAAAGCTGACATGTTTATGGTGTGCATCAGCTCGTTTGTATGCAAAATCCATTTCAAAGGGCACAGAACTTCTTTTAATCCCAGTGCCAAAGTTGTATGGGGCAGATTTGTTCTTCACTCTTGCTCTGAGTGGAACCTTTGAAGATCCAGCTGGGCCTCCACTGCCAGAGGCTGGTTCCCCTGCTGTGTTCAGCTCCTTCCCCGCAAACACACTACAATGGGAGGGAAGGGCTTTGGGGTTTTGGATAGTAAAGTTTATGAGGAACTGACTGAATGTTCTGTGCATGGAATCCTGCAATGAATGAAGCTTTTCACCCCAGGGGGCTTCATCCTCTCCTCTTTCCAGAAGTCTCTGGCCCATCACAGGTGTGTCTGGGTGATGTAAAGTAGGGAGTGTCTCCTGCCTGGGTGGGGATGAGAGATGGCTGCTCACTGTCGCTGGGTTCAAAGCTTATTCTTTTATCTATGGTCTGGACCGCGGAAAAGATGTAGTTTTCCCTCTGCCTGTCTGCTGTGAGGGCTGCTGCCTCAACTAGCTGTCCGGTCCCGTGATGAGGCTTCTTGCTCCAGGAAACTGTGAATATTCTTTTTTTTTTTTTGAAATAGAGAAGAATAATAAAGAGGTGTTACTTTATGATAACCCATTCCATCTAGAGTCTAGAATAAGTAAAAACTGGAGCGATAGAGAACTATGCATAAAACTTTGACCCACTATAGTAATGGAAAGTAGGTTTATGAAAGTTTCCACCCAGGACTGGCATGTCCCCTCGCTATCCAGGGACAGCCAAACAAGAAGAGTCTAGGTCAGGGTTTTCTATAGAGCACTCTTACTTGGCCACGTTTGTCCTGGTGGCTTGTTGGGGGAGGGGTGGGAGCGAGGAGGTAGATTGGAGCAGGAAGAGGTTTCTGTTGTTGAAACTATTAGCAGCAGGGTTAGGAGAGTAAAGAAAAGAAGAGACCAATCCTAAAACTGATCGTTAGTCAGTTTGCAAAAATCAATTTTGTTTAATGACTGCCTATCAACTGTATTATGAGATATAAAAATGAATTAGAAAAAAAATTTTTTAATGAGTTAACAGACCATAAGAATCAGCCAAGGTCAGTCGTAATTGTAACTAATTATTGTGTTTGGCCCTTTTCTAAGTACTTTATTGTATTACCTTCTTTACTCTCGACAAGGACCTAGAAGGTGGTTATTGGCCACGTTTTCCATGAGGAAATCTGGGCACAGAGAGGTTAAATAACCTGCCCAGGGTCACACAGCGGGAAGTGGGCCTATCCTTTAACCACTGCCTTGTGTTGCCTCTGAGTCCTAGAGTGAGCCCTGGCATTGGTGCTAGAAGAGGTCTGAGTCAGGTATGTGGTTGCGCTCTGTGGCCTCAGGCAGGTTGTTTAACTTTTCTAAGCCTTGGTTTCCTTATTTTAAAATAAAGATAATACCTACCTCACAGGTTTATTATGGGGATCAAATTAAATAATAAGCGTGAAGACATTTTGTAAACGGTGGAGCATTATTTCAGTGATTCTTGGTATAATCTGGGGAGATGAGACATGAGAAGGCACCATGTAAGTAATCATGCGGGCTGTAATTAACTCTTCAGAAGAGGGACAGAAGAGTTACTAGGTAATATGATAATTACCAAGAGCATATGCACCTATGAGCCATATGTGGAGGTGGGAGGCGGTTGGGAGCCCTCATCAGGACTGAACCCCACCTGGCAGCATGAGTTAGCATGTGCTGAGTGCAGAGAAGGGGTTGGGGCACTCCAGGAATGGGGAATGGCATAAGGAAGCATTTGGAGGTGAGGGTGGATGAGACAAATTGGCTGAGGTGGAGAGAGGAGCAGAACTGGCCACTCCCACCTTGAACCCCCAGCATCTGCTACCCTGTATTGTCTCCATTTCTCTGTGTTGCCTCAGTAAGGTCTGAGCCTTTTGAGAGCAGGACTGTGTCTTGCTCTTTCCTGTGTCTTCAGATGCCTGAGGCTTGTGTCTCGTGAACTGGCTATAGTCCAGGGTAGAAAATGACTGGTTAGCTCCGGTGGAGAAGCCCTGGTCTGGGTGGGTAACTTGGTCGGGCTACAGGGCACACCTGTACTTGACGTTTTTTCTTAGTGGCCCCAAGCTCTGGTCCAGCCTTGTTTCCTACACCCTCAGTCGGGAACGCTGCCCCATGCCTACCAGAGGACTCTGATTTCTCTGCCTGCCTTCTTGTCCGGCCTGCATGTGTGCTGCCTGTGCCCTCAGACCAGCCTCATTCCCTCACTCCTGCCAGCCCCCAGGAAGCCTTTCCTCCGCTCTCCTAGCTTCATCCTCAACAGTGCACATGGCTACTGTCCCGGCCAGAGTGGGGACCCCTGGTCCCACCTGCCACAGTCCCCCTGTCCAAACAGACCCCTGGAGTGTCCCTCCACTCAGCCCATCACAAGCAACCTTCAGGCTATAGGGAAATGAAGACTGTTCTTGCCCTCAAAAAAGCTGCTGCAATACTTATACTTTGTTTGGAGCACTTTACAGTTTATGAAGCTTGTCTTAGCCACTTGGTGGGGCCGCACTGTGTTTGGGTATATCACCCTCATTTTTTGGATGAGAGCTTGGTAACTTGTGCAGGGCCACCCACTGGTGAGTGAAAGGTCAGGATTAAACCCAGGACACCAGGTTCCAGATCTGGGGCCCCTTCCACCACACTGTCCTCATGTCGGCCAGGAGAACAGTTCTGGAATGAACCAGGAGAGCTGCCACTCCGAGGAACAAAACACCCCATCTGTATGTACTTGGCCAGAAAATGGTTTTCTCTCTGCTTTGTTTATTTTTTTATCCATGTGCGCATACCATTGGTGGGGGTAGGGGGTGCACACAGAGATGAGTAAGATACAGAGGCCAGCCCGGAGGAACTCATGAGTCAGCCGGGAGGTGGACCAGCCACTGCGGCTCCTCTCCACGGAGGACAGAGGCCACAGTGGCACCACTGGGGCAGTTAGCAGCGCAGGATGGACTGAGTCATAGCAAGAGCTCTGGCTGGTCCATGCATCCCAAAGTTTGAGCAGCTCTGCTCTGTGGTAGGTGAGTGCTGGGATCCGAGGGGGAGACACGGAGGAGGAAATAAACCCTTAGCCATAATCCACAGAGTGTAACATCCTGGAAGAGCCAAGAGATGGGTTCTAGAGAGGAAAACACAGAAACAAATATTGCGGGCTGTTGGGTACTAGGGACATGCTGGGTGACTTATAACCGTTATCATACTGAATAGCTCAGTCTTGGAGAGGTCAAGTGACTAGTCTCAGGTCGCACAGTGCGTAAACAATGAAACCAGGTCTTCAAAACTGGATGGCCAAGTCCCTGTCTCCATGTTTAAGCTGTAGGGTGTTTCAGCCATCTTGTTCACGATCTTCAGCAGATGCTCAGCCCTCAGTTCACTGGCTGAAAAATTTTAGGGTTGGACCAGAAGAGTCAGTGCTTCTCAACCCTGGCTGTGCATGAATGGCTTCCAACATAAAAGGTACTGTACTCTTCTTATCCCTTGCTTGCCCCCTTAGTTGGCATCGAAAACAGAAAGGATGTTAAGAACTTTGTGTGGAACCATGATTTTGTACTTTTCTGATCTCCCATTGATAGAATACCAACATTTACCCCATTGACCATGTGCAGATGGTAAAGGTTGCACATGAGCCACAGCTTTCAATTCCTGCAACAAGTTTATGAATTATAATCCCTCTTTCACAGAAGAGGAAACTGAGGCTTAGCGGGGTTAATAACCAGCTCAAGGTTCTGAAGTGAGTGTCAGAGCCTAGGACTCAAACCCAGGAAAAGCGGCCCCAGAGCCTGGCTCCACAAGATTGCTGTCCATGCATCACCACCTGGCCCCCTGTGGCTCTGTTCTTCCTTCCTCCCTACTAATTGGGTCCCCAAGGCGCTCTCCTCACCGCACTCCTCTTTCCCCCCTTATCCACTTCCTCTGTCCTCACCTCCGTCTGATAGTTTATGTTCTCATCTCCGTGATGCTGACGCCCCACATCTGCCTCCTAACATCCTAGACTGTACAACCACTTCCCATTAGACATCTGCCCCTGGATGTCTATGTACCATGCCCTGTTTGAACTTGGGCCTCCCAAGCCTCCAGATGCCCATGTATAGTCTCCACTGGTTCCCGTCAT